TTAATCATAAAAAAGTTATGAAACTTGTAAAAAATTTACTTCTCACGGTATGATGTGCGTTTAACTTTCTTCTTTTACAAGTGTAATCTACATTTACTTGGATTGGGTGAATAACACATGGTAAGTTCTTTTTCTCTCTTTTTTTTTTTAATTATAGATATGCAAGTCCATCTTGATTAATCTCTTAAGTTTTTAAAATTAATGATCAAATAATCCTAAGATTTATATCATTTCAAACTGATAATTTTTAAAAAATAAATTTAAAATCTAATTAATTAAATTACATCAAACAAAGTTCACATAGGAAGTTATCGAATACATACATGAGAATTAGCCGCCACTGATTTATCAAGGAATCATTATCCTGAAAGCAGGCATCGTATTTATAAGCTAAAAGTCCCTTGCCCACGTATGACTTGCGAATCCAATTTTTGACTCTCGCCTTTCCTTTTCTAACGGGATATAACAAGAGATGAGTATTGAATGGCCTCAAATGGATTAGGTTAAATGTCTTAGTTAAAAATATTGAAGAAATAATCAATAAAGTCTTCGATATTTTCTGATGGATAACCGGCCAAGAGAGTGATGGCCCTCAATAACGAATGTTTATCTTCCTCGAAATAGAGTGCTCTGGCTTTTACTGTGTCATTATTGCTTATGAAATTATTGAAAAACAAAGGAAGATGACAGGCCTGAGCCCTCGCATGGTGAATAAAGTCGCCCAATAGCCTTTTTTTTTTTTTTTTTGTAGGGAAGGCATATATCTGCGATTTAAAAAGTATAAATCCACAAAAGATAAAAAGAAAAATACAAATATACAAAAAGGGTCTTCTGTATCCACCTCTTAAATTCTCTTCGTTCATCTCTATGGCAGGGGCGGAGCTGGGTGCATTGTACAGGGGAGGCCAAAATTAATATAATAATGTATATATTATTAAAAAATTTATTTATTTAAATTAAAAATATTAAATAATAGAAAATATTAAAAAAAATTGCAGGGGCCCGGGCCCCTGCTTGCCACCCCTTGGCTCCGCCCCTGCTCTATGGCGTCTCTTTATCGCGACACTCACACAACCTAAAATAACTTGCCATGGCCATCCACTATGGGTTTAAGTGTTTGTCTCAATTGATAAACCTTTGATCGGATGGATTCTAATTAAGTGTATTTTAAATAAAAGCGTGCAAAGCACTCTAACTACTTTTCTTCCCATCCTTTCAAATGTAATTATTTCCTTCCTAGTCTATCTCTTACACTATTAAAATCTCCATTATTGTTTTTTTATATATAAATTATTAAGCTGGAACAACTAAACTAATCTAATCCTGGTAGGTACAGCTTTTAGATTGCAAAACTATAAAAGCTATGGTTGTATGTTTACAACCTATTAATTTAATTTAAGAAAATTTATAAACTATTTAAATAATAATTAAAATAAGAAATACTAAATATAACTAAGGCTGTCGACTTCCTTTCAACTTCAATTTATTAAGTACCAAATATTGTTAAAATATAAATCATATATTAGGTAATTAAAGACAACTTTAATATACATTGGAAAGGTAAAAAGTTTTGTTATATCTTATAATAAAAGAAATATAAAATTAATAAATTTATATATTAAAAGGAAGATTTGAAGGGAAAGTCAAAATTGATCTAAGAAAATATACCTTTAAAATCTACATATACATTGATGATTGATCTATAGAGTAAAAAAAAAAAGACTAAACTCATCATCACTAATTGCTCTTTATTTTAAGACATGATGGCTGTATAATTCTTTTTTATTCATTGGAATTGTTACTTTTCACATGCTAACTCTTATAGAAGTAGTATTCATTATGTCTTTCTCATTTCTAATCATTGTTCACCATTATTCATCATCGTTAATCACTATACATCTCTTTTAATTGTTGTAATTCATCTCTTACACTCCAATGAGCTCACTCTAAATTCACCATGAAATCCAAGAAGCAATATCTTTCTATAATTTTAAAACCTAAGGTTAGAGAAGCTTAAGTCTCATCCTTTAATTATAGTGGATTAGCCTTACAATTCTATTTTATTTTATTTTATAAACAATTACCTCCTAAATATCAATCCTTTGTAGATTTTATTTTCAAATATCATGATGAATTACCACCCTAACATTCATTTGGATTCTTCAACTTCATAGGATCACACTCTTAGATCTTTTTATTTTGAGTTCCTTATCTCAGAATTAGTGGTAAAATCTTATAATATCTTGGGTCAATTAATCCAAAACTTCTCTATAAAAAAAATTATGATCTTTATTATTCGGAATAACTTTGCTAGTTATTCAAAATGTCTAATCCAAATTATATTGTTTGTCAATCTAAGGTTCATATCTTGTACTGAACACTTGTAAAGTATTTTAATATAATGACAAACTAGTGCAGGATAAGGATATTTGAACCTCTTTGATCTTACCCTTAACAACATACCTTATAAGAACACATCTTTATTAGGTCCTATTATCGCACTTGAGAACATTAGCAATAAATTTATTCAAATTACCAAGGGTTTATAAGTTAGATCAAAGATGATGTAATGCCCTTGATAGAGTTTTGTCTAGTTTGCATGTATTGTTTTAGGGTATAGTTTTCCATCAATAAAAAAGATTATACGAAATGTCTCCCATGATTTATGGTTAAGGTTCATACTTGCTCTACCTATACTAATTAGGACCTTGACACTATGAAACTTGGGTTTTAATTGATATGGTTTTTAAAATAAAACATTTATAATAAAAAAACACTACCATAAACTATAGGTACCATCTTATTGTTTATGTTACATTTTTTATGCGAAAAATCCTTAGCTTTGGACCTTTTACTACTAGCTTTTATTATTCAAAGCATGTAATTCCTATAATTGAAGACTTGTACCCAAACACTAATAGCTATCTTTGATTAGTAAACAATAGGGTTATAGGTTACTTTCTAAATTATATGACTAAAATGTCTAATTTTATAGATGATATGCAATATAACACCAATAGATCTTAAGGCTTTATACATATCATGGAGTTTATAAATAAGCTCTCAATGTTTAGGTTGAGCCTTTCATTAAGGAAAAAACCAAAAAGATTCTTGTAACAAGATCATAAAGAGTTTTCATCCCTTTAAACTATTGTTGTTAGTTGTTTTTCTCTTAATACTTTACTAATTTAGTCTTTTTTAAAAGGTTCACAAGGTTTAAGAAGTCAAATTTAAAAGAATCATTTAATTCCTTAGCCAGTTCTTACATTCCTTACTTAAAGGTCAATATCCCTATCACAAAGGATATCTTAACAAGATGATTAAGATTGATGGGATAAAATAGAAAAAGAAAATTGTCACATAGTTTTAAAGTAAATAAAAATCTTAACTAACCTTTTAATAGTTCTAGATAAAGGTCAAATTCTTTTAAAAACAACATGAAAATCACTATAAAATATCTTATCGAAGGTAAGTTGTCTTGTGTTTGCTAATTATAATAAAACTATACATATACAAATATATATTAAGGAAATAAACATTGAAAATACCTATCAAGATATTAGTTTTATATAATCTTTTTTCCAATTAGTTTTAAGTTAATAAATTTCTTCGCTAATATGTTATTGTTAGTTTAATATGTCTTGTAGTTAATCAGTTGGTTACACGAGGCATTATTATATTTATGTAAATACATATTTATTATTAATAAAGGCTTAATATATCTTTCATATTCATATATATAATATTAAATTAATAAATCTAATACTTGATTTATAAATCTAGAATAAAAATAAAGTCCATGGAATAAAAATGTTTTGCAAAAAAAATTATAATGTTATAATTATGAGATTCTTATTGCATCAATGCATTGTTTCTAAAATATTTCTAGTCAATACTTTTTTAAATACTAGATTTTTATTAAATTCGTAGAGACTGGTACATAATATGTTCTTTTTTATGAAAAAACAATTGTTCTAATAAGCTGAGATATAAGGGATACCTAAAACTAATATACAAGTGCTTATTATAAGACATGTACACTAAACTGACCTACATTAGAATTTTATATGAAAAGATCACCTATGTCTATGGAAAGGCTCACGTGATGATTGTGTAAGTGATCATTAAACTTGAGATCATTAAGTTATCTTATATAGAGAATATTATGTTATTATCCTATTACATGTTATCTTAAATGAGGTAATGAAAGGGTACACATTTGATATATAGCATGAACTATAGAAAAATACTTTAGTGATCAAGAGAAGATTCATCACCCTAAGTGAATTAGAAAAAATATTTCATTTGTTCTTAAATAGTATTGACTAAGAAATCCTTAGCCAATATGGAATGAGATTTAAAAAGAGTTTCAATTCTTATTTAAACAATTAATTGTTATTGACACGACCAAAAGATTGATATCTTCTTCTAAATACAGGAGTGTCGAAGTAATAAATAACTCGACAAGATCGAGGTTGAACCACGGGAAGGTTAATTGTATAAATTATAAACAACAACAATAATAAAATACTAATACTAATACTAATACTAAAACTAATACTAATAGTAATAGTAGTAGTAGTAATAATAATAATAATAATAAAAGAAGAAAAAGTTGATGAGAACTTTGAGATAAAAGAACAATATGAAGATTAAACAATGATAACTATAGTTTTGAAACCCGACCCGATCAAATGATCGGGTCACGGGTCAGATGGGTTGACCCGGGTTAATCCGGGTCAACCCAAAAAAAAAAACAGCTTTTATGTTCTTGATACCTAATAACAAGAATAATTGGCGGTTCCGAATTTGCAATAGCCACTGACTACCCTTCTTGCGCTGTGAGACACAGTTTTCTCAACCAATCAATGAGCGATTATTATAGAATTTCTACGCGCCATTATCCCAGTTGCTACAAGATCTGACAATATATTAACTTATCATCAATAAGCTGGGAAGAAGGAAGAATGACTCCTTTTTTTATTTATATATATATTAACTTTAAAAAACTATTGTAAATATACAATATCATCCATCACGATAGCTTAATTATTTTATCTACACACAAAATTGAAATCCATCCTGGAAATTATAAATGATCCCTACTACAAAAACAAAAATAAAATTAATACACAAAATTGGTTGTTACGAGAAAAAATTACAAAAAAATAAAATAAAAATATATTAATCATTCGCTACCTCTCAGAATGGATGAAGATTCCTTTCCACCCCATTAACATTAGATAGAAACCCCACCAAATCAGGCCTGTAAGGCAAATAAGAGTGGCGTTTATCACCTTCTTTACTCCTCACGTAATAATGTTCTTGAAATTGAAACAAACCTCTTCCAACTCCTTCTGCTTCTTTCCTTTTCTCTATGCCCTGTTTATTATGGTTCCCATCTTGGTCATCGCTGCCTAATCTCTGATGATGGAGGCCACTTTTCTTGTTATTAGGCATCAAGAACATAAAAGTATTCTTACCATCACTATTACTCCGGTGAATAAAATCTTTGAACTTCCATTAGACCTTGTAGAGCTGCTCTTCTTGCAGCTCCCTGGAGACCCCTCCTCCTTTGGCGTCCACACACAGTAAGTTTCAGGCTCTAGGTTGTCAATATCATCAGCTTCCAATGAAGAACACGAAAAGATTTCACGGTCCTCGTAGAAGAGCTTCCTGAGGGGTAATCTATTTGGTTTCTTGGCATCTTGGGTATTATTGGTTGCAGTTTTCGATCTAGGTAGGGACTTTTGGTCGTCAAAGAGTAACCATAGTTTCTATCACACTGCGTTCAACTACCTCCTCCCTGAATCTTTAATTTTATTCATCAAAGCCATCTCTCCTCGTCTCTCTCCGGGTCTCACCCGGGTTTGACCGGGTGGACCGGGGCCCGGGTCGACCGGGTTTCTCTGGGCCAATTCCCAAGCGGATTTTTGCCTTCACTCGGACTGTCCTAGGCCCGGGTCAGCCGGGTCCCGGGTCGACCCGCTGGGCCGGTCCGGGTTTTAAAACTCTGATGATAACAACATATGTCAAGGTTAGAGAAAATAATTGTTAAGTGGGTGGTCAACTCTTGACTTGGTGACAAATCTTATCTTCTTGTCTACCTAAAATATCATTAATAACATCAGAATTTGAACCAGACCTCCACACGAAAGTTGTAGGAAATTATCTCAGCTTTCCAAGAAAAAATAATTGAGGTCATATGGACTTCTAAAACTCTAGATATAGGTTCCACACTAAAGAGTATTTGGGCTACAAGACATATTCAAACTTCTTCATTGTTGCTGCAATTTGGACTTGAAAACGACCTTTTTAAATCTTAGACTCCTATAAACGTTGTAGGCCTATGTCTCACCTTTTCATCCATATAAAGAAGACCTAAATCTGAGATTTATAGCTCTAGATATGACCTAATTACCGAATAGTGTTTCAATTTGGACTGCACCAGCATCTCTTTTCTAAGTTTGGCCATCTTTTTGTCCTTTCAATTTTAGTACTTAAACTCATCAATCAATCCTTTTATTTATGTAATAGGTCATATCTGGAGTTGTAGATCTTGGATTTAGGTATACTTTATATGGATGGAGAGCTAAGACATAGGTCTATAACTTTCATGTGAAAGTCTGGTTTTAAAAAGGTCGTTTTCAAGTCCAAATTGTAGCAACAATGAAAAAGTTCGAATATGTCCTACAACCTAGACAGTTCAATGTTCAGCCCATATCTTGAGTTCTAGAAGTCCAAATGACCTTAATTTTTTCTCAAAAAAACTATGAAAATTTCCTAGAACTTTTATGGTATAAGTGGTTCTAATTCTGAAGTTATCAATGATGTTTTATTCAGACAATAGAGGATAAGGATTGTCACCAAGTCAAGAGTTGGTCACCCACTCATTAATTAGTCATCAAATCAATAGTTTCTAATTTTAACCTATAAAAGTAGGCATTTGTCATGCATTTAGGCATTTTGGTTTTCAGATCAAGATCATACTCTTGCTTTCTCTCTTTGTATTGCTTAAGTTTTGCTTTCATTAATATAAAGTTTATACCTTTCATTTTCTTTCCCTTACTTAGTTAACTTTTATCTTATTTATGTTCTTATTTTGTTTATTTAT